AATCGTGGAAAATAAAGCAACTCTACTTTCAAGAAACTCCATTCAAAACTGATCCAACAACCATAAACCAAAATATTTAAGGGGCCACATTAGATGAGCTTTGGTGTATTTCTGTGTTTGCTTTTTACCCCAACACTTTTATAAATTACTTTAAAAGACTTGTAACCGAGGTGTTTGTGGGATGTAAATGAACACTTGGTTTCTTACAGGCCCTTTTCTTTCTGGGAACAGAGAGCAGCTATGTAATGTATTCTGGCTGGTTTTAATTTCCATGTTGTTTATCTTCATCTTGTGCAAGCTGTAGGTCTAAAGCCTTTGCTTAATTAAGACTGGAACAGTAAATAAACAAAGCTATGCCTTCTTCCATGTAGAGCAACGATAGGTATGTGAGAAACAGATAACAATATTTATATTTTTTACAACTTTGGAGTTTTTTCCTTTCATCTTCTTACAACCTACCATCAGCTAAGGCAAAAGAACAGCCCAGAGAAGCAGGAACCACCCAGAACGCTGTTTGTAAACTTTGTGGGTGGCTGATGGTTTTTAAATCCATGTAGAGATATCCCAGTCCTTAGCTATTAAATAGTAATTGGTAAGTAGTAATTGTAAATAGCAATTTCACTATTAAATAGGAAAATATTTGTTCTTCAGTGAGACTTAATAACAATGAAATTTGGGCAGCACCCAGATTTTTGAGCTAGTGCTGGATTCCAGCATTGTGCTTTCAAAACTCAGCTGCCTTCCTGGAGATACTTAGTATTGCTGGGAATATAAGTGGTTACTTGATATAAAATTTTTTCAAGTCTGTGAGCTTCTGTCAGCTGAGGTCACTCAGTCGGGAAGTACGGCATGTGTGTCTACTAGCATCCCATTTTGTTGAGAGAGAAAATCAATTATTAAAGCATTGTTTAGTTTTTAATTTGAAATATATGATCTTTTTGAGGGAACAAGGCTTTGAGAGCAAGTGCATCCTTTAAGGGTATTGTAGTCTTGTGTGGTTCTGCAACGTAAGGCAAATCTGTGATTTGTGAGAAAGTACACCATGTCTCTTCCTATTTCAATGCATCACTTTCTGGCTACTTTCCCACATCAAAAACTGAAAGAAGACTGGGCAATCTGAAGTTGCATCCTTTGTGCAAGGTGGGTCCCTCCTTGATGAAGTCAGGACTCCAGCTTGCAGAAACCTCACCTTCCAAAGGGAAGAGCCTACCTTGTGTCTGGGTACACATACAGAAAAGCTTGTTGCATGACTTAATGCTGGTGAAAACACCAATATTTCCACTGGGTGATCCCTTGTTTCCCTCTTACTCAACATTTTATTCCGGCTTAATGAAAGCATCAAACCCCACCTAACTTAGACCTAGTGATATTTGAATGAAGTGCTTGTATTTTTAAATATGTAGCTGTTCCTGTGTGAGAAGCAGAATAAAGTTATACTACTGTCTGGTTTTTCAGTGTTTTGGTGTTTTTTTTCATATAAGCAGGAAGCTGTTAACCCTGGTCTACCAGTATGATTATTTGGGTAAAAGTATGTATGTATGCTTGTAAATAGTGTTATACATCTTTCAAGTGCAGGCCTGACCTAATACTGTAAGTACTTTTATGGCTTGTCTGCAGTGGAATGAAGCTCAAAACATTTGTGGTTTGGAACAAACATTTGTTGACTATTAAGACTACTATGCATAAATAGAGTGGGGTAACTCGATTGGATTTGCTGGGTACCTTGAATTAAAAACTCTTGTCTGACCCTTAGCAAGTACAGTCAAGGATCTTGGAGCAGCTTGTTTATTTTAGCTAACAAGTTTGCACAAACAACATGGTTTACAGCAGACTGAGTACTAATATGAACTACAAATGTTTATAGCATGCCTAGACTAATGTTTATTGCTGTTGCATAACTCAAGCTAATTGGAAATTGCATAACAAGGTAAAACAGCAAAACAACTAGGCTGATCATTTCCTAGGCAACTCTGGTTGAAGGCATATGGAAAGTCCTCGTAATATAATGTAAGAATATAAAGACATATTAGGGGATAGCTACTTTACTCGACAGGTATATATAAACACAAAGGTACCTCAGCTCGGTAACATGATAAAATGGGGACTTCCTCATTAACAAGCTAAAGCAAATGACTTGCATTGACCTGCATTAAGTCAATCTATCACAGTTTCAAAAAAACCAATAAAAGGACATGTCCACCAAAGCCGCTAACCCACCTATACCCTACCACGGTCACAAATCAACCCCATATGAATCAATTGCCTTCGAGGAGGTTGTTCTCACACTACAGCTGTCTGCATCTGCATGTTAATGTGCAGCTGCCAAGGTTGGAGCTGACCATGCTCCAGCATCGTGCTAGCAGGTAGTTCATCTTGGGCGTAGGAGCACCCAAATGAGAGGCAGGATCAGTGCTCGTCTTCACTGGGTGCTGTAGAGCCACTCATCTCCCCTTCTTTCAAAGCAGATGTGGTTAGAAAGTGTTTTTGTTCAAAATCTTGAATACTTATTAACAGGAGAGAGGTGTGTTCACGTGCAGGAATTGGCATCCCTGGATTCAGCTTTTTTGGTGCAACCCTTCTGTGCTAAGATCTTTGGTTTAAAAGTGTTTAGCTTGATACCATGAGAAATCCACTTCTCAATTTGATAAGTGCTCCTAAAACAAATTTGTCCAAAGAAAAGGTTAATGGTTAATTAAAATTATTATTGTTTCCATGTTCTTATAGCTTTAAAATATACAAGCTAATGTAAGTAGGGGCAAAAGGAAAAAAACTAAGTGAGAGGTATTGCCTTTTAAGACCAGTAAAGGGATAAAATCCCTACTCCATTTGCCCCTGGAACTCAAAGCTCTAACACCATCTAACGCTTCTGATTTCAGACCTTCTCGTAGGTATTGCTTTTGTAAATATTTACAAATTTCACGTTGGGTCTTAGGCCATACTAACTTACAAGGTTTTCAGAAGATGCTTGATGCCGCAATTGAATTGAAAGGATCTGCCTTTCAAATGTAAATGCTGATGTGTGGATTGATCTTTGGACTTTTTATTCTTTTTAAATCAGTATTTTCTGAATCTTGACTGAAGTAGTGTGATGCATATTCATATATTTTACTTTTTTTCCTCATTTTCCTGGCTATACAAACAGTATTTACGGTACCTGTTAATCATTCACCTGAAGACCGCATACAAGGAGAAGTGGAAAACTTCACTTGGCTAAGTCGCTTTGGCTTTTCCCGTGGGAAATACTTCTCAAACTTGTCCAATCTTTCAGTCTCCATACCTAATTACGTGGGAGAGTGCATGCATGCAGCTGTACCCATATGAAGATACATTTCACATAATAAATTTTACTCTAATAACTTACCTGCTTTTTAAAAATCACATTTCTTCTAAACATAATTAAAAATAGTATCTCTCAAAAGTAGTTTCATTGTTTGAAACAGGCTTAAAGTCACCTTTGCAAATAGTTTTAAAATGAAAATGGATCCATGTTTGGGGGCTTAGCTATATGAAACTTATAGTCATTTATTTTCTGACTTATCTTCTTAATAGAAAGATAATAATAAAGTGTACCAGCATGTCAAAAACAAGAAAAATACCAGTATCATTTCAGCTCAACACAAAATTTTGTATATGGTAAGGATATGCATGAGAGATAAAAATCTATGTAGCACCAGTTGGCATTTTAATTCACTGTACATACATTCTTGCATAGTCTACTGTGCTTCAGCCACTACAGAAAACAAAATTTCCCTCTAATTTTTGCTTAGACCCATCTATTTTTGCTGGTTTTGCTTGGTTTCCCAGTGCCAATGACAACTTGATGCGTCAATACAGGCAGAGATGCTGAAGTAAGGTGCTTCTGATCCCCATAGAAGGGGCTGGAAGGGTGAGAACGGAGATGAAACTTTGCTACTTGCACAGTAACTTGCTAAGAATGAACAATGCTGTGAAAGGAAATGCAGGAAAAACTCCAGGGCAGTTCAGTGGGTTTCTGTTGTTGCCTCCATCAGTGACTCGCTGAAGGACCTTTGGTAAATCACTTGATTTTTTTGTTCCTCTGGTGAGCAAGTGCAACAGGATGATTGTGATCGGGCTGGACTGGACATAAATATCCTCGATTTTATTCCTAGGTTTGCCCCTACTTCTTGATGTGATCTTTGAAATTCTGGGTTTGTTTTCTTGAAATTCTGAATTTTGCATTTCTTGAACTCCTGAATTTCTTCATGCTACTTTTTCCATTTCTTCTGTTTAGACTGTTAAATAATTTGGATCAGGGTGGTGGTTTGCCATGAATTTGTTAAAGCCTTGGCTTCATCGGCCAGAAAGTGTGCCAGGATGCTGAAGTGAACCCAGCTGTCAGAAAACCTAAATTTTCATTCTGTTCTAAAGACAAAAATCATGAAACTGTTTGTTGAAGTGTGATATTTATTCGATTTTGGAATTATTAGGGTATTCCATTTCCATAACGAATAAGGTCCCTGTGATCTCTGGCAAGTGCTGATGGAAAATAGCCTCTTTTGGGGGGTGGGGGGTTTGTGTGTGTTTGTCACATCAGATTTATTTGTGTATCACATCCAGTTTAGTCACCAGGCAAAAGAGCATCCAGGGCCTGCAGCCCAGGAGTATTCCTAATTTTAAAAATACTGTGAAACACTGGGTTTTGTCTGGGTTTTTGCACTTTGAAACTAATCTAAACTAACTGACCACTAGAATATATGAATAGAAGGTTAGCATAAACTAATAGATGTTACTTTAAAAACACCAACTTGTGAAATTGGCTGTGCCTGTAGTTTTACATCTCTAGAAAACCATTCCCTGTCTCTTGGCTCACACCACATTCCTGCAGGCAAGGAAATGAAGAACTGGACTTGTTTCCGCATGGAGCAGCTTTCGGAGCCACCTGAGTAATTTGCGGATCAGGAAATAACGCATTTGAATCGTGGCAAGGAGTGAAATGTAATCTTGAAAGAATTCTGACCTGTGCATGTTTATTTTCTCAGATAATTAAGCTGAAAGCAGAAGCCCGTCTCGATCTGCTGAAGCAGATCGGTGTGTCCGTGGATACTTGGCTAAAAAGCGCCATGAACCAAGTGATGGAAGAACTGGAAAACGAACGCTGGGCCAGCCTGCCTTCAGTAACCAACAATGGCTCTTCACACCTGGTACGGTTTCCAACATGTAAACCTCACCTCGTCTCCATGTGGCTCTTTCCTAGTAGCAACTCCTAACTTAATATTGAATATAAAACAAAATTGATAATATTTGGTAGTTTGTTAGCTAACTGGAAGAATATTGTAGCTTTACATGGCTGAAGCATGTGTCTGAATTTCATGAAAAAAAAACAAACAACAACAACAAAAAAAGGATTTCTGGGTTCTGTTGCTGAGTTTACTTTAGATTGATTTTTCTGACCTTGGATAAGTGCCATAACATTTATTTGCCATCTCCTGAAAAGAAAAAGTCTGCATGTTTCTTTGAAGTTTCATTAATAGTTTACGATGTTATCTGAGATACTTGGATGAAAGGCTTTATTCTTCCAAATTGTGTCCCCCCCCCAAAGAATAAAGTGTTTCAAAATAAATAGTGATGGCTGAATCGAACAGCTGCTTGAATGAAGAAACCCTGTTCGGAAAAGAGGAACTGCTAAAAGAGATCATAAAGCTTATAATACCCCCC